TCGTATACGCCGGCAAATACGGTAGGTTAACAGATTAGTCTCCTAGGCTCCCATCAGACTTTTCCACTAGTATTTGCCCAGTGCCTAGGATACTGAGTGATTCAAAGTAAACATTCAAGACATACTTGTTGAATGACCTGAATATATATATTTGGAATTGGATGAAAGTCCTACTAAATGATAACATGAGCCCAGGCTAGTGTGGCTCAGTTGGTTGGAATGTCCTCCCATGCACCAAAGGGTTGTGGGTACCATTCCTGGTCAGGGCACATACCCAGGTTTCAGATTCAATCCCCAGTCAGGGTGCATGCAGGAGGCAGATGATCCATGTTTCTCTCTCACATCCATCTCTCTCTCTCTCTCTCCTTGCTAGCTCTTCTTCTCTCCCTCTCAGGAATGAAAGCACATCCTTGGGTTCAGATTTAAATAAAAATTATATATATATAAAAGCCTACTACCAGTTAATTGGCTAGTAGCTATGATGCGCACTGACCACCAGGAGGCAGATGCTCAATGCACAGGCATGGAAACATGGAACAGACTGATGAATCTCAGGAGGGAGAGAGAAGTGGGGAGGGCAGGAAGAGATTCGCCAAAGATCTTATATGCATACTGGGGTCCCTTGGCCTGGCCTGCTGGTATAGGGCAGAAACTAGCTCTCTAACATCCCCCTAGGGGTCCCGGATTGTGAGAGGGCACAGGCCAGGCCTAGGGACCCCACTGGTGCACTGGGCCTCTAATAATAATAATAGGAGTGTGTTGATAACTCTTCATAATTTGCTCAAATATATAAGCAAAGCCAAGCAAATTGAGCTGGGTTTTCTACTTTAAACTGAACAGAGTTTTACTTTGACTTTAAAATCTTACCTTATACTCTTACTACCTAAATAAAGCTCTTTGCCCCATGTTGGGGTTAGATATTTTGAGGCCCAGGATTCCCTGCGTCTGTCTAGTACACATGTCAGCCCAAGTAGCCAGTCAGCTGATGTCCTACACCTGAAACAAGGGTCAGCCAATTCATTACTTAAGTTGTGGTTGCACTTTGTTTCAACTATATAGTGTATTATTTTTGAAGAACTACATTTGCCATTCAATAAATATTCATAAAGTAGCTCTTCTGTGAAAACCACAAGGCATGGGTTGGGGAAGGGGTGGGCAGCATAGGGAGGAATAAGGTGGAATCTAGCAGTTAATAAAATATTGTATATGAATCTCACCACAATGTATAACTTGTACATGTCTGCTTCTTTTAAGCTCTGTGCATAACAGATTTTAAAAACTGGGCATGACTTTTCTAAGCTATCACAGGATAGTTTTTCATTGTAAAAAGTATTTGATGTACTAATTATTTGACCTATTTTGTAGCATTTAGTATGTAAAGTCAGGTCATGCTTAAAAATAATTATTTCTACCCGACTGGTGTGTCTCAGTGGTTTAGTGTTGACCTATGAACCAGGAGGTCACAGTTCTCTTCCCCATCAAGGCACATGTCCAGGTTGTGGGCTAGATCCCCAGTGTGGGCATGCAAGAGGCAGCTGATCAATGATTCTCTCTCATCATTGATGTTTCTCTCTCTCTCTCTCTCTCTCTCTCTCCCTTCCTCTCTGAAATCAATAAAAATATATTTTAAAAAATAATTATTATTACTTCTTCATATTCTGGAATAAAGCATCCTATTAAAACTTCTTTATGTAATTCACAAGCATACTATTGGGAATGCCTTGGTAAATGCAATACATATTTCTCAGCACATTTGTTTATAGTCAGTATGACAGTTTTGGTGGCACCCACTATGACACTGCTTCTTTCAGATATCGGAGCTACTGATCCACAAGCTCAACCAGAACTCGGTGCACTTTGAGCTGAAACCCGGGATCCAAGTCCTCGTCCACGCAGCACACTTAACAGCAGGTCAGTTTGCATGTCCCCTGTCTTTCCTAGTGGCTCTAGTAAAGGGGATTCTCAATCCTTTTATCATAACAAAACTATATGGCACCTCTCCTTATCAGAAAGGCAACAGAATAAAGTGCATTTTCTTAGTCCTGGCGAAAACCAATAATGATTCACCTAAATACATACTCCTCAAATAATAGCAAGTTTCATCTGAACAGAAATCTTAAAAATAAAGTTGATTCTACAAATAACTTTTTTCCCGGTCTTTCTGCAAAACCTTATTTTCAAATTATTCATGTTACAAATATTTTTTTAAAGTTTTGAGATACAGTAGTCAGTGGAAATACCTGGGACGTAGCAATTGTACAGGGCTGTAGCCAGGAATTGAATCCCAAGTTGGTCATGATATTACAAATTAACTAATGTCATTGAGTTTCTGTCTCTTCACCTATAGAAGTTAGGAGACATAAACCCTCTTCCTAAGGCTATATAGAAGTCTTAATGATAATGCAGGTAATCCCATGTAAATAGAAATAGCTATCATTGGTTGTATCAATACTAAATTAAATTAATATTTATTGAGTACTTATTTTTGCAAATTATTTTGCTGGTACAGTAGGAAATTATCTTTGTCCCCAAAATACATATGATCTGGTTGTGATGGGGCAAAGTTTGCTGTAGCATTGGTGGTGGTGCTCTGGAGTGGGGGGGGGCAGTGGTGGGGTATCTCAGTGAGTAACCTGCTTACATGCTCAGGTAGGGAGGCAAAAGGGCATACTTAAGCACTTAGCGTTTTCAATCTTGCAGCCAGACCAGTGGTTTTCATCTTGGCCCCATCACTGACTCACTATATAGAACTTGAGAAGAGACTTCATTTCTCTGGGCCTTAGAGATGGCAGTAGCACCTATGTCAGTGGGATTGTGTGAGGATTGCGTTAATTTAAGTAATGCACTTAGAGTAATGTCTGGCAGATAGTAAGCTATTGTGTGTGTTTTTCTTTTTACTCCTTATATTATTAACAAAGATGTATAGGAAATGTAAATCAGAAATAAATTATACCCAGTCAAAATGACACAGGAAAGGATCTTGGAGAAGGTGGATGGATGGTTAGGATGAAATGCCAGAGATATTATAAGCACCAAAGCACCAAGGAAGGAACATGGAATAATTAGGGACAAAGAGCAAGAGTTTCCAACTTTGGTCTCTGGTTTCCTGGAGACTCTGGAGGTGTGCCTAGGTCTACAGGAAGGCCAAGAAGGTTGGCCTCTTTTCTTTTCATATTGTATCTTTTCCTTTTATTATGATTTCATAATTTTTTGTTAAAAAATAATCCCTCTGCCTTAAAAGAATGAATATTTAAAAGTCACTATTCCTGCCTATCTGGTGTGGCTCAGTGGTTGAGCGTTGAACTATGAACCAGGAGGTCACAGATTGATTCCCAGTCAGGGATGGATTGATTTCTAGTCAGGGCACAGGCCCAGGTTGTGTGCAGGAGGCAGTCAATCCATGACTCTCTCTCTCATCATTGATGTTTCTCTCTCTCTCTCTCTCCCTCTCCCTTCCTCTCTGAAATCAATAAAAACAATTTTTAAGTCAATCTTCCTAAGCATGGGATCTGGAGGTAGAGTGTGGAACTCCACCAGGCTTGCCAGTGTGTACTTCCTTTGCTGGGCTTTGGCAAGGCTTTGAGCAGAGGTATGGCTGATTCTGAGATTCACTTGAGGAAGATGACTCATAAGAGGAAGGAGGACTGAGTCAAGTTGATTTGTTATTCTACAGATTGCTATCCTAATGCATCCATTGAACAGACATTTATTGAGTGCCTGCCTGCTCTGAGCCAAGCAGTGTTTTCTGAATGGAATAGTCTCTGCCTTCATGAAGCTTCCATCACAAGGGAAAGCTGGGCAGGAAGCAAATGAACAAACGTCGTGTTTTGAATTATATTGCTGATGAAAATGCCTTGAAGAAATAAAGTGTAAGAAATCAGGACTATTAAGTAGCCCCTACCAGAGCAACCCCTTAGCTAAAGGTCTGCCTACTTATCTCAGGGCATTTGATGATCTAAATTGGCCTTTTCCTACCAAGAAGGTTGACCTTTGGCCTTTGGTGGAGTTTCATGCTTGATCCCCAGTGGGGGTGTGCAGGAGGCAGCTGATCAAGTGTCTCTCTCACATCAATGTTTTTCTCTCTTTCTCTTCCTTTCCCTCCCTCCTTTCTATTGTCTATAAAAATCAATGGAAAAAATACCCTTGGGTTAGGATTAACCGGAAAACAAAAGATTATTTGTTTATTTAATTTAAATGATGGTCCAATCTGTTTAGGGGGAAGACTGAACCTCATCTACTTCATCACTTGGGAGGCAAAATTTGCTTTACAGCATGCTCACCTTCTAAATAAGCACTGTCTTCAGGCAGTATATTTTGCTTTCAGCTGGGTGCCTTGATTTCTTAGGAAACACTCCCCTGTTATTTACCAGGGGCCTCTGTTAGAAAGGGGAGCATCACAGATCAGAATAGAGACCTACCCTACTTTCCCAGTCTATCATTCCAGAGGCCACTAACATTTCATTCGTTTCTTCTCCCAAACCTCTCGTCTATCAGTTATGTTATGTGCCTGGTTTTTATTGACGTCATTGTCACATCACATTCCAAAGATGGTCAGATGGTCAGATCATGTTGCTGAATTTGAAATCTTATCTCAAATGTTTCTTAAGGATGCTTTCCTAAAATGACATCTGGCATAGAGCTGGGATCAAGCTGAAAAATAAGAATAAAAAAAGTAGGAATTTAATTGAAACTGGTGTGGCCAGTGGCTTGGCCAGAGAAAGGGATACAGCAAAGTCATCCATGAATCCATGTGGGAGAAAAAGCCCATTCCCCATCGCAATGACAGGTTTATTGTGATTGGTTTAAGCTCCAGGTGGCAAGGAATAATGCAAAATTTGGAAGATCTGGAAAATTTCCCTAATTAATGTTCATAGTTTATTCCATAGCGGGGAATTTGGAGAGCAGGACTCAGATCTCTGGGAAGAAGGACCGGCCAAAGGGAGGGATATCTCTGGGAGCTCAGGTAAGCTCAGATTTGAATGAGAGCGCCCTGCAGTTTAGATATGTATGATGTGAGGTTGCCAAAGAATAAGGCAATAACAATACAGTTCAAGGTAGAAGCCCAATCTTAAACGGGGCCAATTTGGATAGAGTGAGAAAAATATGTGATTTCCAACCATTGTGGCTGTTCGAGGCTCTTCCCTGTTAGGTTTTATAGTAGGGCCTTTTGGCGTTGTAATTCCCAACCCAATCAACTGGCTTATTGAGCTTCCTGTTATGACTGGCTCAGGGGCTGGAATAGATGTAGACTTGTATTGGAATAACTAGCTCTAGTTTGAAGAGTAAAGGAAAGAATGTGAAGGGCTGACTCAGTAACTTGGTCTTGGAAACTTCCATTATGTTGAGTTCAGCCATGCTTGTCATAATAGTGTTAGAACTGGTGGTACCCACAGGTACCAGCTCACTCAGCCAGACTTCTATAAAGACAATGTTTTGTGTTAAGATTAGTATTTCAGTAATTGTGAGAGGGAAGTAAAATATATGTGGGCCAAGTTGTCTGTTGGAGATTGTTACTAAGTTAGCTGCAACTGTATGATTTTTTAAAAATTTGAACAGGATGGTAGAGTATATCTACTGAGACAGTGGAGAAAGTTCCTTTGCACATAGAAAGCTTGGCATGTGGGGTGGAGGAGTCAGTGCATTGAGACACTTGCCACAATTTCTTTTATTAAGTTAAAATGAACACATTCTTATTTATTGGTATGAAGAAACCTGGGGAAAGAAAAAACAATGAGGAAGAGTATTTGATGCAGATCTTTCACCTCAGCTACCATTCTCTTCTTCTGTTCCTCCTGCAGCAGGCAGAAGAAAATACAATTTTTTTTTTCAAAAAAGGAAAAAGGGCCACTGTTTGCAACATTTCATGTCTCATAAGCAGGATTGCTAATACCTTCCCAGGGACCATTACAGCACACGGCTGCATTCCATTAATTGCTCAGCAGATGTTCAGCAGCCTTCTTTTAAAAATGTTTGAGCCAGAATATGTTGCTGGTGAAAGAGGCAATGCATAATGTGGTTTGTCTCCAAGGAAAAAGAACTGTCTCCTTTCAGGAATTTACTATCCTTATTTTGTGTCTCAAATTCAGCTCCCTGTTAAGTTTTATGGGAACACAAGGTAAGCATTTCCGGATACCTGGGTGTCATTAGAGATTGTATTGAGTTCGTTTCCCACCCCCGCTCTCATGGTCTGTCGGGGAATTCATTAACTTTGATATCTAAGCTGCGCTAAACTTGGTTTTAGCAGTCCTTGTTTATTCTCAGCCTTCCCTCTGCCTCTCCATTTCTGTGCAATGACTCTTGAGTCCGTACCCCTCCTGACAGACATGTTTCTGAAATTCTCTTTGCAGAAAGGAGAGATGTGAAAATGTGTGAGAACAGGGAGAGAATGAGAAGGTGTTATCAGGAAGTTTGAGGGAGGGCCATGGCCAGGGTGGCTCTCTTTGGCTTTTAAAACCTGATGGTAGCTGGCATCAATGTTTAGCAGAAAAAGGCTAGGGTGTTACAAAACAACCCAGGGAGTTGGAAAAGGGAGTAGACAACTATCAAGTTGGACTGGACATGCTGGTGTTTTGACTGAAGTGTACCTTTCCTCATTCTACTCCCAACTGGACTATTTCTCTCCCTTCTCCATCTGTCTATACCTCCTAAGTCTATTTTTATTTTAAGGCTCAACTCAATGCCAACATGTGCATGAATCTTTTCTAGAGACCTTTCCCTGGATTTCATCTATCCCTTGGCTGAGCTCACGGACAAGGGATAAATGAAAATCTTTATTAAAATCTTTAAAATCTTTATTGTTGCCATCATCATCATCACTCTTATTTAACTTCTTAAAGACACAGGTTAGCATATCTTAATATTGTCTCCACCGTGGTACCCAACAGAGAACTTGCAACATATCAGGTGCTCAA